AGCGGCCAGCCACCCCCAAACCGTCTGGCAGAGACGCCGGCAGCGACGTTGGCGACGTGGCGTTGATGGGCTCCGATTAGATATGAACAACAACTATGGGCTGTTCAGCTGACGGATGGCCGCGACTATGCCATATAAAAAACAACAACAACAGCAACAACAAAAAAAACGGCCAACAACAATCAACCCGCCGCCCTCCGACCATGCCAGCAATATCCAATTATAATGCCGAGTGTTATGCGGCCCATCATCAAAATGATCACCATGATACTGTTACCGTTAGCCAGCAATATTTCCATGTCAGAGCTGGTGAAATATGGTCACATTTCGATGATAAATGCGCCCCGATTGATGTGACAGATACATATTTATCCATATTTAGCTGTCTTCCCTCTCTATTGTTTCAATAGCAAATCCCGCTGAGCTGAGCTGTTCGCTGGAGAGGCTCATGTTAAATTTATTGACTCTAGGTGTCAAATATCCAATACAATTTTAAAGCCACGGTAAAACTATATTTTTTGGTCTGCTAAATTAGTTGGGAGCGGCGTTTGCGCTGATGAAAATCGTGTCCAAGTGAAAAGATTGATTGCAGCAATTTATGGCTGGAAGTGCATATTTACAAGCTGCTTGCAAATTCTACAAGCTACTATTTTTGGCAAATATAAATCGATTCTTTTAACAAGCTATTTCCAGCAATATGTATAAATACATCAAGTTAATTTTTGTACAAAATAAACATAAAGAAAAGAAATGTGCAAAGCATGAAAATCCCTAGAGTAAAATTATGAAATAGTCAAAAACTAAGTACAAGGTACAAGGTACAAGGTACAAGGTACAAGGTACAAGGTAGAAGGTAGAAGGTACAAGGTACAAGGTACAAGGTACAAGGTACAAGGTACAAGGTACAAGGTACAAGGTACAAGGTACAAGGTACAAGGTACAAGGTACAAGGTACAAGGTACAAGGTACAAGGTAGAAGGTACAAGGTACAAGGTACAAGGTACAAGGTACAAGGTACAAGGTACAAGGGACAAGGTACAAGGTACAAGGTACAATGTACAAGGTACAATGTACAATGTACAAGGTACAATGTACAAAGTACGAGGTGCAAAGTACGAGGTACAAAGTTATGGCCAATTCAGCTAGCCAAATCAGCTGTTTTCCAGCTAAATGTGGCTATTTTCAAAGGCCGTCAGCCGAAAATGAAATGTTTAACAAATATAGCTACATTCTTGGCTATCTAATTTAATCGCAGAATGACTCTATAAATCTATATAAACTAAAGAAATCCAGAAGAACACAGAAAAAATAATTACAAACTCGAGCTGAAGCAGAATTTAAACAAAACGAGGACAAAATTTATGTAAAATATCTAAAAGCGAGCATAAAAAAAATAAACTCGAGCTGAAGCTGAAGTCAAATCTAGCGAAAGCTATGGATAACACCTGAGCTTGAACTTTTTTATACAACTATTATAGAGCATTACAATGTCGTTGTTGTGGCAATTGTTTATCTGTGTTGTTTTTTGTTTTTGCTGTAAAGTTTTTATGGCCTCGGCGGCCGCGGCAACTCAGACCCAAGATTTGCCATTATTAATGACCGCGACTGGAGCCGCAAGTCATAAGCAAAATGGAGCCCAGTGACGTCACAGCGCGCAGTGCCTTGACACCCACACACACACACACACACACACACAGAGGGGGGGGGGGGGGGGGGGGGGGGGGGGGGGGGGGGGAAGAGGGGGGTCTTTATCTAAAGTAATCAACGTTTTGACTGCTTCACGTAGCCCACGCCGCAATCTCGCGTGGCAAGGGGGCAGACAGTCGGAGAGGCGGAGAGGCGGACAGGGCAGGGGGAGAGGCAGACAGGCTGGACAGCATCTCCAAATGGGAATGCAAAACAGATGCTCCAAACGCCCCCGACTGCCACTCCCCCTCCTGCTCCCAATACATATATAGTACATACTATATAGCTAGTTGCGGTTGGTTGATTTACCAGGAAATGTGAATCCACGGAATACCACACACTGATATCAAAAGACAATAAATAGGCTGGCGAACAAAATGAAATAAGATAAAGATACAAGATAAACACACAGTTGATAGATATATACTGATCTGGGACAATTCCATGGTAACGTCTGTTTGCAGAAGATATAAATATTTTCAATTCGGTTTCGCCGTAAAACTCCTGCCTGATATCTTCTTGAACAGTTGGCAAAGTTTTCCGAATATAATCGTCAAGTTAAAGAGCAACGATTAAACAGAATATCAGAATGTTAGCCTCCAATCAAGTCGCTTTTCAAGTCATGTGCAACGACTTATTACGTATTATAAAAATAACCATGACGTAGATATGCCTCGCATATCGTATATCCAACTGAATGAGGCACTATCCGCCGAATTTGAATGAATTATACGAATGCTGGCAAAGGCAAATATAATGAATATATATATATGGCATTGGCTTGTGCGGATGATAAGCGAAACTAGTTCAGCTATAAGATATGCGCCCCACTGAATGTACTCATACACATATACTTGCTAGCTTATGAGTACATTCATAACACTTGCTTGCTTATGAGTACATTCATAATGCTTGCTTGCTAATGAGTACATTCACAGGCACAGCTATGAGCAACTGCCATAAAACTAAGACGTGGAACTTAATTAACATAATCAAGTTTCTAGTTCATATATATATATGGCCGGGTATATGCGAAGCATATCCAATTGAAGGATTTTCCAAAAAATTCTACATCATTTACATTTACTTGGAGGTTAGAATAATGAGTCAGATTAAAACTCTGGAATAATTCTGCGTAAAGAACTTTAGACATATAGAATTATAGTCTAGAAATGTACATTATTTCTCTGAGTGTGAAGAATTTTAGATATATAAATATACATAATAGACCAGGATTGTAGAAAAAACTGCCTATATGAGCTGCAAAATGAATGTAGGTTTATCCCCAAAAGTTCTATAATGCCTAAGAACTCATCTATCCACAAATTGACTCAACCTAATCTAACATAACAAATTGACAATATCCAACTGTAGCCTCTCCACAAAGCTCAATATGACTACTCTCGATATGCAGGGCATTCGAACCAGCAACTTTGCTAACTTTCATGACTTTCGCCCACTAAGAAAACTCGACTTGAAATCTTTTCCATGTCAAATTGTGGAAAAAGCGCGTTTTTATCCATCTATCCAATAAATTGGTCCACAATGCTCAATATTTTCATTCTGGGGATTCGAACCAGCAACTTTACTAAGTTTCAAGACTTTCGCCCACTAAGAAAACTCGACTTGAAATCTTTTCTAAGCCGAAATTTGCAACAAGAGCGTTTTTAAAATATTGCATATAAGCAAAAATTATGCTCACACAAAGACATTAATTTATAATATTTGAGTTTTTGAGAACAACATGAAATTAGGCCGAATTCCTAGTGCGAATTCGTGAGCAAGTTGAAATTTCTAAAAACATGGCCTATGCACGTACAAATAGATATATTTGCCAAATGGGCCTAGCTTAAAACTAGTACGCTGCACGCCAGAGCAAAGCAAAACTTTTGTTCGACTTGCATATAATGCTCAAGTATATAAAATGCTTATTTCTTGACAGTTTTGAATTGCCCAACTGTAATTGTATATGTTTACATATACAATCTGTAGAATACATGAAATTTGGAATATAGTATATACATTATTTTATAGTTTTCTTGATTTCCAAAACGTATTCAGCTCTATAGTCGAAACTTTCAAACTTTTTCCTTTCTTGGGCCTAGAGAAACCCATGTGTAGTAATACACACTTAATACAGATACTAACAGGTGCTCTTTAACTATATGTTTATTGTGAATACGCCCACTAAAGCCGACCCATAAAAAAGAAGAAGAAGAGCAATGCTCGAGCGTCTGGAGGGGCAGCAAAAAATGCCATTGATATAGATAAAGATATAGATATAGATTAAAGCCAGATAGTAGCCATATATATACATATATGTCGTGCATATATAAATATATATATGGTAGCTATACGAGCATATATATAGCTATGCATACATGCGTAAGGTTTGTCAAATATTTATATTATGATATTTTGTTTTTATTACATATAGTTTATATATCCAAGTTTTGCTTTTTTGTTGACTTAAGAAATAGCGATAGTTCTTGTTGTTGTTGTTGTTGTTGTCTGTCTGTCTGTCTGTCCGTCTTGTTTTTATATGGTATATATGTATGTATATAAGAGACATTAAAGGCATATAGGAGAAATAATACACATATAGGCGTATATATCTATAATACTAAAATATACAGAGTTAATCACTAAGATAAGCGTCCGTCGTTGTTGTTGTTGTTGCTGTTTGTGTGTGTGTGTGTGTGTGTGTGTGTGTGTGTGTTGTGATAAGACACTGTTATATGTAAATATATATCTGTGAAGTCGGTGCCACAACTTTTATCAGCGCACCCAATTTCAACATCATCATTTGTCGGCGTCGAGTCATAAGATACAAAAAAACAACAAAAAAAAAAAATGAAACAAAAAAATACAAAAAAAAAAAAAAAAAAAAAAACACCCGTTGTACGTTCCGCGGCAATGGAATCTCTCGACTGGCGATAAGATAAACGCCAAATTAATTACCCGCACACACACTTACGCCCCACTTCTCTAACTCTAATATCTCGAACTCTTTCTCTATATCATAAAAAAAAAATCATATATATATATATATATATATATGTGTGTGTGTATGTATGTAGTGCACTTATATAAGCTACGATAGCAATGTTAAATTTAAACAACAACAAAAAACATAATACACAGAGCACACACAAACCCCCCCCCCCCCCCCTCAACGAGCAATTGCGTGGCCAGCCCCCCGTTCCCCCCTGCCACTGTGCCTTTTAAACTTAATTGAGATTTCCCATAATTGTGACGCTGCCGTCGCTGCCATCGTCGCCGTCGTTGCTGCAGCGCTGCTTGCTGCTGCCTACCTTCTTAGTGCCATCGCTGAGCTGCGTGGCAGCCAAAAGCTCGCTCAGCTGTCGCTCTCTTTCCCGTTCGAGCTGGCGCTGCTGCTGCTGCTGCTCCAACTGCAACTGTTCATCGATGTCCTCGTCGTCGCCGCCGCTCAATTCGCCGCTGCTGCTGTGACTCGATTTGCGGGCGAGAGCAACGCGTATGCCGTTAACAATGCACTCGCCGCCATCCAGAGCGGAAATTGTGGAGCCGCAATAATACAAATTGCTGCAGCTACTCGCCGCGCTCACATCCGACTGAGCTTCATCCTTGGCGCCGCCGATGCTGCCGGCGGCAGCGGCACTCGCTTCCAGCGAACAGCGACGCTGGCAGCGTGCGCGCTGCAACCGAAAATACTCCATCTCCTCCATGCTAATGCCGCAAGCGGTTATATCATCCGAATAGTCGGACACGACCACCGACGGCGTTCGCACATACCGTACACCCGCCATGCTGCCCAGCTCGCTGACGCAGCTTTGCGTGGACTCGCGTCGTGAGCCGGGCGGCGCTGCCAGCGCCGCAACGACACGCTCCTCCAGCAGCACTTTAGTGGGCACGCCGGCGCCCACGCCCACGCCCACACCCACGCCCAGACCGAGGGCAGCTGTGGCGCTGGTCGGCGACGTTAGCGGCGAATCGGGCAGCGCTGTCGGCTCGGCCAGTGGTAGCAGGGCCGGGCGTAACGGTAAATCGGTAACGGTCAGCGTCATGCGTCGCTGCGGCGTCGGCAGTGTTTCCATATTAACATCATCAACATCGAGGCCCAGCGCCGAGTCGCTGCTCGCACAACGCGTCACCTTTGGCTTGCGGCGAGCGACAGCATCGCATTCGTTGTCGCTGCTGCAGGGACTCAAGCCGCCCGCATTGCAGCCCTCATCCGAGTTGGCAGCGCTGCCCGCAATCACAGCTGGCTTCAGCTGCGCCTGCTCTGCTGCTGGCTGCTGCACAATCATTGCCTGAAACTTTTCAATCAGCTGTCGTATACGCGTCCTGGAATCAAAAGCTTTTTCGCTCTCTCGCTCTCTCACTGGATGCTGCTGCTGCGCTGCGATTGCGTTGAAATCCTGGAAGAAAGCTGCGCGCAATTGCGCCTTGTGCTCAGCAAGACGAAGCTGACGTTCACATGGAATAACACACGCAGTTGTTGTTGTTGTTGCTGCACTCTCTTTTGCCAATGCTTCTTCTGGTTCTTTTTCTATTGCCGATGCTGCTGCTAATTCTGCCGCTGTTGTCTGTTCGAGGCGTGCGCAACGCTTCGCTGCTCTCTGATAACTAAAAGTCGTTGGCGCTGCCGTCGCGCATTTATTTTGAGCGTTAACCGTTGTCAGCGCCGTCGACGCTGATGTCGTTGTCGCTGACGCCGGCGTCGCTGTCATTATCTTGAGCATTGACTCGGTTTCGGATTCGGTTTCGGTTACGATTTTAGTTACGGACACGGCGGCGACAACATCGGCATTTTGTTGACCATCGCGGCGCGCACTCATCGCTGTCAACGTCGCGTTCGCGTTCGCGTCAGCGTCGGCGTCGGCGTCGCGTGCGTTTCAAAACTCGGTTTTAGATTTTTACGCGTCCGCGCACTTGAAATTCAAATGACACCTGCCGCTGCCGTCGCTTAACTGTCGCTCTGACTATAAACTCGGTCTTCAACAGCGACGCCAACAGCGACGGCGACGGCGTCGTCAACGGCAACGGCAACTGCGACGGCGCGCAGCGTGACGCTGGTTATGATGTTGCTGCTGCTGCTGCTGCTGCTGCTGCTGCTGCTGCTGCTGCTGCTGTTGCTGATGAAGAAGGTGGTGCCGCTGTCGCTGCTGGCGTTTACCCCGTTCTATTGAATTTTCGTAGTTGCTCATTGCCCGCTTACGCGACCGCGACCGCTGCGGCTCTCAGTGACGCTGGCTGTTTTGATGCGGCCGCTGCTGCTGCTGCTGCTGGCTGCAATTGTAAGCAGAATTGGAATTGGAATTGGAATTGGAATTGTGTGTGATCTTGAAACGTTGACGCAATGTGCAATGATCCCGCACGTAAACTTACACACACACGCACACACTCGCACACCGAAACACTTATTGCTGCTTATTTATTTATTTATACTCGTATTTCATTTTTGTTGCTGCGCTCCAATTGCTTTGCTAGTTTTCTTAACTTGAGCGCGTAATTGCATTTAAGCACAAAAACACAAACACACACACACACACACACTTGCACATACATGCACAGCAACTGACAGACTGACAGACGTCGTGCTCTCATATGCCGACGCACAGTGGGTCGCACATCCACTTTCTGATTATTTTTGCTAATCATCAATTCGGAGAATGTGTCAAATGACGTTTGCACTTGACTCAAGCGTCATTTGGTGCAATTGGATAGTAAAAACAAATGTTTCGTCGACTCAATATTTGTAATTATAAGTTTAAGATTAGTACTAACAAATGATTCAAGAAGATTTATAAGTAATACTGTGCTGGCTTTTATTATCCGTTAGGTGATATGTTCAAATGATATATTGCAACCAGTTCTAACTAAATAAAAAATTTAAAATAAACAAATTTATTGTCATTTTTTATGATAAAGTCGTTACTTTTGATACTCGCTTAAAACCGAATGTCATGTCTGTAAAGTTATTGGGGAATAATTCAGGACAATGACATTCACAATAGTTATAGGCGTCATTATGAAAACGCCCAGATATTCAGTTTCAATTATATGATACACGAAAAGTCTTGATTTTGGGCATACGAATACAAATTTATTTTTCGAATGAATATTTTCTTGAGTAGGGTATCTGCTAGTCGTCTCGATAAGCGATTACCATGGTAGCATGTTTTGATAACAAGCAATTCATCAGTCACAAATACATATTTTGTACGTATGTATGAGTGTACTAACGTATGTTATCACAGATACATGCATGGACACATGCCTATTCATATGTGTATGTATGTACGTATGTATGTATGTGCATACGTACGAACATAACACACCCCAAACACAACAAGTGGCCCTGAGTAAAGCTGTGCGAATGGAACGTATGTTAAATGTGCAATGGAATTCAGCTGTGATTCAACCAGACGCATTAGTTGTGCCGTTAAAAAGCAAATGTTGGTAATTTGTCACGCGCATCATTTGAAATGACAACAAATGATGGACAATGGAATAAGGCAATACGGCAATAAGGCAAAGAGAGCTTTTGCCAATGACCAATCGGGGCGATGACAATGATCGATAACTAACAGCTAATGGACAGGTAATGTCAGCTCAATATCAATTTCACCAGCTATTTACGAACGGTGGCCCATTGTGCGGCGTCGCACTTTGTTCGCGCCGTTCTGGCTATGACGTCAGTCGCAGGGGCCGACGTCGACAGCGTGACGCGCGTATAAGTGTCAGACGCAGACGCGACCGCGGCCAGTGGCCAATGAACAGGCAAAAGAGAGAACGAGAGAGAGAGAAAGAGCGAGATAAAGAGACAAGGGCGCACATACAAACATAAATACATAGCATACTTATGTATGCATGTGCATGTGCATGCGCATGTATGTGTGTGTGTATGTTAAACACTCACGATCAGTCATGCAACCGGTGGGCGGCGTCGGCGTCGACGTTGGCAGCGGCGCATGCTTGACTGCAAAATTGCCGCCCCATCAAGCGGCATAAATAACAAAAACAATTAAAATAGAACAACAACAACAACAACAGCAACAACAATCATAACAAGTAAGTGCAAATTTTTGACAAGACGCTGACGTTTGCTGCTGACGCTGATATGACGCCGACTGCCAACGTCCCGTTGTCTAGTTGCGAAATGGAAACCACTTTAGGCTACACACCTGCGATAGACGCCAAACTGTGTGTATTAGTAATTATGTATGTGTTTGTGTTTCGCTTGAACGGCGAGTTGCATTACGTCAATGCAATTGACGAAGTGGCAAGCACCTAGTAAATTGAAGGATAATAAGCGCGCGCTCTCTCTCCCTCTCTCTCTCTCTCTCTTTACGCTCTCTTATACATATGTATGTATGCATGTATTTGGGTCGTGCTTGCTGCTGGCCCAGTGACCGAAATCATTAAATGGCTGAATTTAACTTTCAATTAAAGGCTTTTGCCGCAAAAGCTATCAAACACAATGATTACCGATAGGAGGCGGGGCACAATTATGTACAAGCACTTTATATATGTGTAGCTATTTCACACTTTAGCCTTAGCTTTATGTTTATTGCACATTGCGCACTGTGCGCACACGAAAATGGTCAAAGCAAGCGAGTGACGCGCGCACGCACGCGCACATTGTGCGATCGGCGTTTATCGTTGCCAGGGCTGGCACGATTGCGCCAATACAAAAGTAAGTGTGTATGCGTTCAGAGCGTCAATATTAACAACTTATAATTAGGCAAACTGTTTTATATGCGTAGCTATTAACAATATTTGACAGCAGATGCATGTTAGCATAAATTGTTTGCGGTTGCGGTTAAGCTAAGCTATACAACTGCTGCAGCCCTGGTAGTTTCATTCATTGCATTTTCCCATGCGCTGACATTGATCAATTGCAAACACTTTAAAGCCTTTCAATGTGTGCGAGTGTATGCACACTCTGTGTCTGTCTGTCTGTCTGTGTGTGTGTGTGTGTGTGTGTGTGTTTAGATATTGAATTTAGCAGCTGTTTGAAACACATGCAAATTACATTTTAACTCTTATAGCTTTTTGGCCTGCAGCTTTTTCTTTTGAGTTTTTGCGTTTCGTTTTGATTTTTTGGTTTTTGCTTTTGTAACGGTTGTCGCGAAGGCAACACGTTTGACGCGCACGATGACAACTGAGGCGGACAAGAGAACGCGGCGACGTTGGCAGCGCTTGTTTCGCGTTTCACTGTGCGCAAGCAACTGTTTTCTTTTTTTCTTTTTTATTTATTTTTTTCGTTCCGACTTAAACAGAAACTGACTCAAATTCTTACACATCGCTTGCGAAGCTGCGTGCGTTGCGGGACGCGACGCGACGGGGCGGGGCGAACCGCGCCGGAGGCTTGCCCGCTGTCTAAGCTCTGCTCTGCTCTGCTCAGCTCAGCTCGACTTAACTCAACGCCGCTAGTTAATAATTTAGGCTGGCTTTTGTTGCTTTTTATGCGCACATACTTATACAAAAAAAAATATAAGACACATGCACATCTATGCTTGTATGTTTGTGTGCGCGCATACATATGTATGTACGTATACGTATAAGAGATATTTTAAAGCTCACGTACACTGCAGCAAGAATGAAAAAAACACACACACACACGCACACAAAACATCTTGTTTATTTTGGGCGCGCATTTTGTCTAGTTAAATATTAACATTAATTCACTTCGCACTCGCCTGTCAATTGCCAGTCGCAGAGTTGCCTATTTTTTTTTTTACCTTATATTGTATTTGCCTTTGTATAATATTTTTATTTGCTGTCGGCCCGGCTTGATTAATGCTCGTTTTCTCGCATGCTACCGTTAAATTTAACATTTGCTTCAAACATGCTGGCAAACCAAATTTAACTTTAACATGCACTTGTTAGCTATTTAGCCAGAGTGTTGCCACCTTGCAGTTTGGATAGCGGCAAAGTGCTGCCAGCTTACAGGCGCGGAGCTGCCAGACTATTGACAAGGCATTGCCAACTCTCAGGCGTGACGGGCTCTTAACGGTATTTTAACTTGTTGTTGGCGTTTAGCTGTCAATTGTCAAATTTAACATTGAGTCTCTGCGGTGGGTGTATGCAATATTTTGTTGAGTGAAACCTATCTGAAAAATGAAATGAAAATGGCAAATTACGTTAAGGGTTTCATTTTTGTAGTATTCTAATATGAGGAGTACAAAACTTTGTCCAAAATTCTGAGCGGACGGCATTTAGAACAAGTTTGGCTCAAACAAATGTTATTTCTTTTATTTAGCATAAAACACAACTTGAAAAATTTACAATCAGCATTTATATTTAAGAGTTACGAATTACAAAATATAGCCATACGCTGTTTGTCTCGTCTGTGTGTGTGTGTGTGTGTGTGTGTGAGTGTGTCTGTGTGTGTGTGAGTGTGTCTGTGTGTGTGTGAGTGTGTGTGTGAGAGTGTGTCTGTGTGTGAGTGTGTGTGTGTTGGCATGGATGTGTCTGTTTTAACCTGAGTAAGAGTCCAGCAGACAGCGGGTCTTGCATGAGCTTGACTGGACCATAATGAAAGGGGTAGGGGAGCGTGGGGGCAGGAGGAGGAATTACAGAAAATAGAAATTAAAAAAATAAGTATTTCAAAAAATACTAAATCAAGTGCTAGACATAAACATGTTCAGTTTACTAAAAAAAAAAATAAAGAAGAAGGAAAACAAACGCTGCGTCAGGTTCACCGATAGCGTCGTTCCCGCTCCCGTTCGCGCTCTCTTTCCCGCTCCCGCTCCCGTTCGTCGTTGTGCCTGTGCCTGCTGCCGCGCTCCTCGCGCTTCCGTTCGTGCCGATGATGGCCGCGGCTGGCGCTGCGTGTCTTGCTGCGGCTGCGACTGCGACTGCGCGAGTATTGCCTATGCTTGTGCTTCTTCTTGTGTTTGCTGCTGCGACGACGCTCGCCGCGCTCGCCATAGTCCTTTTCCCGCTCGGAGCTGCCGTAGGGCAGCATCGACGACATTGGCGTTGGCGGTGGGTAGTCGTCGTAGCCCCTGGCGCGTCCGTACGCCGAGCCAGAGGCCTGAGCTGCATAATAGTCGCGATCGTCGTGATCATTGCGATAGTTAACTGGCGGATAACCGCCCCCGCCACCGACGCCGGAACGTGCCACGGCATGGCTGCCGGCACGGCCACTCCCACTGCCGCTGCCCTCGTAATCATCGCAGCCAGTCGAAACGGCTGCGGTAGCGCCTGGCGCCGACGTCGCCGGTGCAGCCGAGCCCCGACCCGTGCTCAGCTGATTAACCGTGATGCCCTGCTCCCGGCAATATTGCTCAATTTTCTTCTCGATCTGCTTCTGGATGGGCACAGGTATGCGCGGAAAGAGCGTCGAGAACCAGTCCAGTTTGGTCATAAACTGGTACACCATTTGGCCAATGGTCAGCACCTGGCCGAAAAACAAGTAGAGGAAAACAGTTAAAGAGCATTTGGGCCGAGAATAAGGCATGCTAAGGTCTAGTTGTGCATATTGATTGGTGGCTCATACAGTTGACTCACCTGGCCGCCGCCCGCCTTCACGTCAATCTCCTCCTCGTCCTGCAGATAGTCCTCGTACCAGTCATACAAATCTCCCGGCGGTTGCGTATAGCGTAAGTACATAAAACCTGAACGGAGAAAAATCAAATGAATTGGCAATTAAAAATTACAAATTAACGGACACATGACAAACACGGCCGGACAGTATGCAGCTCAGCGGGACACTGTGCAAAATTAAACCGAAAGTCATTCCTACATTTTTCTATAATTTGTAAATCTCTTTCCTAAGCTAAACGACAACAGTCCAACAGCTACATGGGCCATCCTCTGAGACTGAAGAGGAAAGCGAGCGAGAGGAAAGCTTCGCAGAAGTCAACCCTTTGATCTTTCCAATCGGATGATTCAATAGATATAATATATAATTTACAAGACTGAACAATTTGTATGCTTAACCCCTCAAGATACATGAACACATCAAGACATTTGCTTTAAGAAAATAAACTAAAAGTAGAAGGCAAAGGCAAAACCTTAAATCATTTTATAATATTGCAAATGCTTCTTAATAAAAGGAGCAAAAGGATATTCAAGATTCTGGCTTAATGCCAAATTATTATACTGCAGCAAAACACGTGGTTCTATCATTTTATAGCTAGCACGGCGAAATTACGCGGCGTTGTCCGGCTCAAATTGATAAAACGTTCAAAATTGAAAGCAAGTCTACATAGACTCGCCCTAGCCCTATACTTCGTGCTCAATTTGCCAATTAGAATCAATTCAGAAACCGTAGCGTTCCTATAATAAAATAAACTATATTACATCAGATTGTGGTTCGCGTGAAATTTGATAACTTAAGGCTTGCTTTGCCGCCATTTTGTTCGCACTCTTAAGGCAGATTCTTAGAAATGGGTACAAGTCTTTATATGACATTTAAATTAGTTTTTGGTCTATATTTTGCTGGTGCCTAACTTGAGCTGCGTACTAGCCTAGAGTGTGTGTGTGTGTCTGTGAGAGAGTTGAGTTTAAGACGCGGGAGGAGCAGGAGCAAGCAACGAGTGAGACACGGCTGAACTCATGCGACTTACCAACACCTACCTAGTGCCCGAATGTAGGCGGAGTCTGTGTGGTTGAGTAGTCCATTCACTTGCTTGCGGGTCAGGCGCAGCGTGTAGAGCTTGTAGAGCAGACAGTAGGCAGTGGATACGATGCCGCCGGCGCCAACGCCACGCACCTGATATCAAAGAAGAGACAAGAGAAGAGCAGCGTATTAGCATGACGGGCACTTAAGAGCATAGCAGGAGGAGCGTATGGATTTGGTATTATCGCCAACGATTAGCGCTACATTTCATAAACTCACACCGCCGCACATGCCCGTCTGGCCGGAGGTTTTCCGTGAGCCGCGCTCCCAGGGCTCCATGTGCTTGACCTGGTAGTAGATCTCGTCGACCACTTCATGGTAGGTTTTCAGCTTGAATAGGTGTACTGTTTTGGGCGAAACAACGATGCTTCATTTTGTGCTCTGCTTTTCTTTCTTTTTTTTGGCGGGCAAATTGGTAAGCCGCGCGTCTTACCTTTGAAATAGCTGGAACTCTGTATGTTGGCCAAGATGAGGGGGTTCAGGTTCATCGACGTCTCGTTGCCCCACAATGGCAGCGTATTATGCTGTTTACCAACGCCCGCCTTTTTGCCGCCACCGCCACCGGCCGAAGATGCCGTCGAATATTCTGTGAGCGCAACGCCAACGCCGCGCCGCGAGTGGGAAAGAGAAAGATGGAACACACACACACAATTGTTTTTTTTTTGTTAATTGTTTTTTAACACAAATGTTGGGCACACTGTTATGCCCAGGAGGGCCGCACACTACCTTACCTTCGTCCATGGCTCCGCTTCAGATATTGCTTTTTATACTGTGCATTAAATTTGCAATTCTCAGTGATTTCGAGCCGAGTAATCGCAATTTGCAAACGTTTGCTTAGAGTGAAAATGCCAATGTGTGGTCGGAGTGTTTAGGGATGTGAGTAGCGCTGCAATGCGAGCCGATAGGTTAAAGCGCGTCAAATATCGATATGCGCGATATGCAGTTAGAGTACTCAAAGCTGTTAATTTGATATAATAACATACTGAGTGACGATAGCTTTAATTAATCTCTTGCAACTTGTTATTAAATAAAGAAAAACGGTAAAAACATTCAATAGTTATCGGTATCGATGTGCGCTGTTAACAGTTTTTAATTAGCTCGCACAGCGATTCCTGTACAAGCGTTCATTTAGTTCACTTGGAATGAATCATTTTCGTCTTATACGGTTCTTATATTATAAGCAAATATAAGTCATGGCCTTGATAAGCTCACCCAGCCGGCTGGCATGTGTAGGACTTATATACTTAATAAACCGGCTTTAACTACAAATTAAGCTGCTTACAGTTTTTAAATTGACTTGGTTTTTAAAGTGACTTGAGCTGTTGCAAATATTATCGTTCTATAGCTGTGCACATTGAAAACTTGCGCGCTTTTCTAGCTTCCCACATATCGATAAATGCGCGTGAGCTGCTGAGCTGATTCGGGTTTGTCGCAATCGAACTAGTTCCGCGCCGAACTAATCGACTCTAAAATATACGCAACGCAACGCAGCAGCAGCAACAGCAACAGCAGAAGCAGAAGCAGAAGCAGTGATAGAAGAATCTATAGCATCAGCGGGCTGCGTTTTAATCAATTAAAAGTCGGTCGTGTAAAACAATGCAGCCGCTGGCTGGCAGCAGCAGCCGTTGCCTCTCAGCTGGTACTGGTTGTCCGCGCACAACCAGATGTGGAAGCGTATACGGACGTGGGTGGTATCCAGAGTCAATCGAACAAATTCTGAACGCAAGCGCACACAAGCCAAGCAAAAACGAAGAAGCAAAGCAAAAATAGCAACAGCAACAGCAACAGCAAAAACAAAGTTCAGGGTCATGGTCAGGCAGCTGCTTTAGGGAGTTATTAGTGTTAAAGAGTTGGTAAACAGTTTAACGTGGACATAACTGGGCCCTCAGCATGTCGAGCGACTCATCCCCGGATAGCGAAGGCGAACTGTACGATCCGTTGGCCGACGAGCTGCACAATGTGCAGCTGGTGAAGCATGTGACCAGAGAGAACATTGATGCGCTCAATGCAAAGTTCGCCAATCTCCAAGAGCCGCCAGCCATGTACTTAACAGGTGGGCCGCACACATGCATGCACACACACACACACACACACACACACACATACATGCACACATGCACATACATGCACACATGCACATACATGTACACACATATGCACCCTCAACCAAACCCAACACCCAACACCCTTCTGGCAATTACTGAATCCACCCTTAATTCCCCACAGAATACCAGGAGCTGACCTCCAAGCTGCACGAGCTGGAGGCCAAGGAGCACGAGCTGATGGAGCAGCTGAATGCACTGCAGCAGGAGGACGAATGCCGTAGTCAGAGCGAGGCGCAGCAGCAGTCGCTGCAGTCAGCGTCGCAGCTAATTGGGGATCGCTCCGATCAGCCGCACTATCAAAACCAGACGCAAATCCTACAGCAACAGCGTCAATTGGCGCGCATTGCGCCCGAGCTGAGCGACAGTCTGGTCTCCAGCTCGGGCATTGGCTCTACGGTTAGCGGCAGCGGCTCCGGGCCCGGCTCGGGCACGGCCAGCCAATGCGGCACACTGACCCGGCAGCCCAAGGTGCTGCTGCGCGCCCATTTGCCCAACCAGCAGCGCACCTCCGTCGAGGTGGTGGCCGGCACTCGGCTCTGCGATGCCCTGATGAAGGCTTTGACCCTGCGCCAGCTGGAGCCGTTCATGTGCGAGGTGAGCACAACGCAGCACAGCGGACGACATATCATACCGTGGAACACGGACATTGGCACGCTGCACGTCGAGGAGATCTATGTGCGACTGCTGGACAAGTTCCCCTTGGGGCCGTACATCAAGCATCAGTTCATACGCAAGACCTTCTTCTCGCTGGTCTTCTGCGAGGGCTGTCGCCGCCTCCTGTTCTCGGGCTTCTATTGCAGCCAATGCAACTTTCGCTTCCATCAGCGCTGCGCCGGCCGCGTGCCCATGCTGTGCCAGCCCTTCTCCGTGGACAGCTACTACGAACGTCTGCTCTCCTCGTACCCAGAGAACTCGGTCGGCTTGCCCGTCGGACGCAGCAGTGCCGTGCGCTTCAACGTGAGCAGCCGCAGATGCAGCAGCAGCGGCAGCAGCACCACCACGACAACCACCACCACCACCAACAGCTCGAAGCCCACTGTCAATCGACAGGGTCGTCCGCCGCGCATCAGCCAGGACGATCGTTCCAATTCCGCGCCCAATGTTTGCATCAACAGCATCCGGCCGCTGACAACCGAGACGCAGCGCAGCCTCATCATGCAGGCCAGGCCCCCATTGCCGGTAAGTGTGAAGTTAGGAGCAGGACATTGCCATCGCCAGCTCCAGGCCTGATGAAGTGTCCATAGGCCAGTCGATATAGCTTCCGTCTGGCTTTCATTCGAAGTTTGTATTCATGTCAAGATATCTTGACCAGATCCAATGCCTAAGGGGCGCCGCGCAAAGCCTTCTCCCATCATTCCTTCACATTACTCACAATATGTTTCTTCTCAGCATCCCTGCACAGATCACTCGAACTCGACGCAGTCATCACCCACCAGCACGCTGAAGCACAATCGACCGCGCGCCCGTTCCGCGGATGAGAGCAACAAGAATCTGCTCTCGAGGGATGCCAAAAACTCTGAAGAGAATTGGGTAAGCTGTTGCCAATCTGTGTTGCCTGCTCCTATTCAAAAGAACAACATTGCAGAATATACAAGCGGAGGAGATATTGATTGGGCCACGCATCGGTTCGGGCTCTTTCGGAACTGTTTATCGCGCCCATTGGCATGGACCCGTTGCCGTGAAGACGCTCAAGGTGAAGACACCCAGCCCGGCACAGCTGCAGGCGTTCAAGAATGAAGTGGCCATGCTGAAGAAGACGCGCCACTGCAACATCCTGCTGTTCATGGGCTGCGTATCGAAGCCATCGCTGGCCATTGTCACCCAGTGGTGCGAGGGCAGCAGCCTTTACAAGCACGTCCATGTCAGCGAGACGAAGTTCAAGCTCAACACGCTCATCGACATTGGCCGTCAGGTGGCACAGGGCATGGACTATCTGCATGCCAAGAACATAATACACAGGTGAGCCCGAGGCATCTCCAGCTCCAGCTGGCATTTTCTGCAAGCTGTGTGCATAGATCTCTCAAACATAAGTCCCAGCCAAGTTGCATAAAAAACAAATCTAAATTTGAATTATATTTGTGCTTTTCACGCATTTTCCGACCGTGTCGGTGGATTCAGCCAAGCACACATACAATGAATTGTATTGCCCATACTAAAACAGATAAACATGGTGCTGGGTTTTTTCCGGAAAGCTTGAACCAATTTCCCACCATTTTTCACCAGAATAACGGTTTTGTCCAAAATGTGTGGGACACGCCCCTAATGACATTTTATCACAATTTCTAACAATGAGTTTGAAGCTGATCAAATGAATAATATAAAAGTTGTCGAAATCGTTTTTCAACAATTTTCTTTTCACTTTCCGAAACCACGTCTTGATGTTTCCTAACCTCACCAAATATTACAATCGTTTCAAAATTCATTTTTTAGGTCTAACGATGTAAATATACTAGCTAGAGCCCTCTTTTCCAATTTCCACCAGAATAAGTGGGAATGTTAAACAGTTTCCCTCCATTTTTCATTTTCCACCAGGGTAAGTGGAAAGTGTGAAACAGTTTCCCTCCATTTTCTACGAGTGTAGTGTACGTGGAAGGTGAAACAGTTTCCCTCCATTTTTCATTTTCCACCAGGGCAAGTGGAAAGTGTGAAACAGTTTCCCTCCATTTTTCACCATGGAATGGAATTGTGAAATGTTGTATAATGAATGTTTCCCAAAATTGCGAGACGAGACACTTATTTTCGAATAAAAAAACAACCGATTTTGTGAAATCGTTTTTCAAGAATCTTCCACCCGCCCAAAATCACATCTAAAAGTTCCTTAAGCTTACAAAAGGCCTTGAAAAATGTAGTTTTCCAGCTTTAAAGATTTAAATAGAGTGAGACTAGCTTGGAACCTCCATTATTCGCCAGGTGAATGGGCTTTTTACCGAAAAGTGTGCCGCACGCTGTTTCCGCCCATTTTCCACGAGGGTAATCGAATGTGTGAGACAAAAATGTCCCAAAAAATATTGCATTCAATTAGAAGAGGAGTTTTATTTAGTTGCATTTCTCTTATCGTCCAACAGGGATCTCAAGACGAACAACATTTTCCTGCACGAGGATCTGTCGGTGAAGATTGGGGATTTCGGTTTGGCCACCGCGAAGACGCGCTGGTCCGGCGAGAAGCAGGCCAATCAGCCGACGGGCAGCATTCTGTGGATGGCGCCGGAGGTGATACGCATGCAGGAACAGAATCCCTATTCATTTCAATCGGACGTCTATGCGTTCGGCATAGTCATGTACGAGCTGCTGGCCGAGTGCCTGCCGTATCGGAACATTAGCAACAAGGATCAGATACTGTTTATGGTCGGACGCGGTCTGCTGCGACCCGACATGACCCAGGTGCGTTCCGATGCGCCGCAGGCATTGAAACGCCTGGCCGAGGACTGCATCAAATACAATCCCAAGGAGCGTCCGCTCTTCCGGCCGCTGCTCAACATGCTCGAGAACATGCTGCGCACATTGCCCAAGATTCATCGCAGCGCCAGCGAGCCAAATCTAACGCAATCCCAGCTGCAAAACGATGATTTCCTCTACATGTGCCCCAGCCCCAAGACGCCGGTCAACTACAACAATTTCCAATTCTACAACAGCGCTGGCAACATCTAAGGGCCACATCCAGTAGAAGCAGTACGATCCACTCCTCGAGGACGACAAGAAGGCGGCTGTACCTGTACTTACTACCCAAACGATTGGGGAGGCATGCAACAAATGCTTGCATATTGTTGTTTTTTTTTTTATATATATATATATATATTTGGTCAAGCTTAAATGCGAGCAGGCCAGCGAGAGAGTGAGAGGGAGAGAGAGTTGCACGAGATGCGCGAGACTCTGGCTGTTGCGCTCTCGCTCTCGCTCTCACCTGTGCCTGTTCGGCTGTGTTTCCTGTATCTTTGACCTCAGCCTGGAGCAACTTTAATGTGCATTTCTGTTAAAACGTATAAACACGAAGTAGACGCTGCAATGAGAATGAACTATTAACTATATTATTGTAAACTAACTAAAATTGAAACGCGCATACATATGTACATACATATAAATATATATACACACACACACACACACACAAACGACACTCACACACACAGACACACACATACGTTAGGCATCTACTAAAACTAGCTGATCGAAGTAAAGAAAAGAGAGAAAGAAATTACATTATAAACAATATACTACTATATTAACTATAACGAAAATCATGTATTTATTTCAAAAGCACGCACACATGAGAAACCGCATGAATTGGTCAGTACTAAACGTAGCGACTGGCTATGGCCAGCACCTTGGTGTAGTCGGCGCCCTTCGCCAGCGTCTTCTCCTTGAGGATGGTCCGCAGCACCGTCGGAATGGGCACGTGTATGCGTGTGCCCAGCGGACTGCCATTGTCGTCGATCAGCACCAGATTGTTACTGTCGAACTGCGGCTGCTTGAGCCGTTGCTTCTGCTTGAGGCCCACCAGGATGCCCTTCTTCATCTGGCCCTTGATGGCCACCAGCACCTTGTCGCCGATGAGCCCGACGCCGCGTTTGTTGTAGACGTGTATGCACCGGGGCGGCCGTCCCTCGGCCATGGCACGTTTGCCCAGATCGCTGTTGTCCACCACGCGCAGCCTGGAAAGTTTCCGTATCTCGCAGCATGCCGGCGTCGTGTGCAGCTGACATTGGCCAACGGCGCCGGCGACGGCGGCTGTCAGCGGGCTGTTTGCGTTGCTTTTGGCCAGCAGCGCCACATTGCCGGCTCTGGTCACGTTTCTCAGCAGGATTTGGGCCATTTGCCTGAATGCTTTTGACAGCAAGGGAACCAGCTGAATTTTTAGCACAACAATTTGGAATTATACAATGCCTATCGATACATCGATGCGGCTGCCATGCAACAGTGCAATAATCGCCTGAGCTCTGCGCACCTATCGATAAATTTCACTCTATACGATAGTCAATTGTGACGTCACCGATTATTTTTAAGCGCGCGCTTTTTGAATTTCCACGCAAATTTCGTTAATCTTTTATATCTTGCCAAATAAACGACACTGTCAGCTCATTTACGGCTCTAAATGATCACATTCGAAGGCCAATTACAGTGCGAGCATATTTCAAATACGCACAATTTAACAAATTCACATATTTTGCACAATTCTTGCAGGAAGTCGGTTACAAAACACTTGCAATCGATGTTTAAGTAATTATCCTGCGCATTTGTTGCCTTGTTTCATTTAAAAACAATAAACTAATTTTGTCATATTTGACAATTTCAAATTTTTCTTTGGCGCCAAAGGATTCTGCTTCTTCTTCCTGAATTTGTGACGTAGATGCGCAGAACGGAGCGATAGTTGAACTAAATTTCTAGTTCCGATATTCATCGATTGCTAATTAATATCGATATTCATCGCACGCACTTGGCAGTGCTGCCAAGTCTTGCGTAGTGCTGCCAATGCCACTGTTTAAATTCAAATTTAAGAAGCAACCGCTCTTTTTTGTTTGTTTTGTAATTTCCATGCGATTTGCTTGGCAGAATAGCGTTGCGCGGTGTCTGTGCATAGGTTTTAATTTAAAGATCAAAGGCAATTGTGAATTATGGGTATTTATCACACATTTTCTAAATCAATTTCCAAATAAACTATAGGCAACAAGTGCTGCCCAATAACGCGCAGTGCTGCCAATGCCATTGCGTAAATTTGAATTTGAACTTAAAGCGCACACGTTTCTTTTGTAATTTTCATGCAATTTATTTATTAATGTATCAATAAAATATGCTCAAATGCTCTCCAAGCAATCAATTGCAGCGCACAATACATATGTATACATGTGTTTGCGTGTGTGTTTGTGTGTGTGTGTGTGTTTAGGTATTTCTAATAATTTATAAGCATAGTTTTAACGCTTCAATTCGTTTGCTAATCGCTCGCTTTGCTTTTGTGCTATTAGTTGTTGTTTATATATTTGTTTACGTTTAAGATTAAATTGTTATAGTTGTTGTTTTTGTTTTTTGTTTTTGCTTTGACACGACTAAGTAGACCAGTCCCATTGGTTAGAAAATTGGTTACTATAATTAACTATGACATACAAGATATTATATAGGCATATGACGTATATATAAATTTGCTTGTTTCTTTCTTTTTTTTTTTGTTTTCTTTCGCTTTGTGTGTTGCTGTTGTTGTTGTTGTTGGTTTTCGTTTTTTGGGTTCTTGTGACCTTAGAACTAAAACAAAGTGTGTTTAAAAAAAAAAGAGCCATTAAATTACATAGTTCATAACAAATATTAAGAATAGTTTAAAAAAAAAATTAATATTGTATATATATATTTATATATATGCATGTGTATTGGCATACAACAAAATAGTTACTAAAAAAAATGTAAAAAAAAAATGATATATATATATATATGTATATATATATACTTCATGTACAACAACAATTTGCATACGCACTTGTTAATTATTTACATTTTACACAAAATAATAATATGTTTAATTAAAATAATAATTAACATAAAAGCAAAACAAAATGTTACACGAAATAAGAAAGAAAATAAAAATCAAAATCAAAAATTAGATTTCCAATGAAAAAATTTGCGCATTCGCTTTGTGCATTTCGTTTCGGTTCTCTTCCCATTCCTTCTGCTCCTTATACTGATTCCGCTCCCGCTTCCGCTTCCGCTTCTGCTTCTTCTTCGCTCAGGCGCGATTCAGCTCGCCGCGCTTAAAGTTGCGTATCGCCTCCAGCAGCTGGTCGCGCGGATCCGGCGTCGTCGGCGTCAGGGCGTTCCCGCTGCGCACGGGCCGCGCCTTGGCCAGCATTGGTGGCGCCGGCGGCGCTGGCGGCGTGGGCGTGGGCGTCGCCGAGCTCCTGGTGGTGGCCATCTGGCTGGTGGGTCGCAGCTTCACTTGCAGCAGCGCAGTCGTCGGCGTCGGTGTCGCCCCCGTTTCCAGCTTCAGCTCCAGTTTGCTGCTGCGCAAGATCGTTGGCGTTGGCGTCGTCGTCGGCTTTGCGGCTGTGGCGGGCGGCGAAGTCGCTGCTGCTGCTGCTGTTGTGGGCGTGGCCATGCCATTGACTGAGACGCGCACACGCAGCGCCTGCTCCTTCTCCTGCTGCTCCTTGGCCAGCATGCGCTCCTTGAAGCCCGTGCGCCGCAGCGTATTCTGTCCGAAAGGCGCTGCCGCTGGCTCCGTCTGCAGCGACGCCCTCTCCTTCTCCTTCTCCCTTTCCCTCTCCCTCTCCATCTCCAGCGTGGCGTTGGGTCGCGGCAGCGAGTTGGTCGAAACGCCGCCGGCCACCGGAACGCCAGCGGGCAGCGTGTAGCGATTGCTTCTCGCCGGACGCGGCAGCGTCGAGGGCTTTACAAACTCGCGGAATAGCTCCTGCCTTGGCTCCTGCTTCTCCACGTGTTTCTCCTCCTGCTTCTCCACGAGTTTCTCCCCCTGCTTCTCCTCCTGCTTCTGCTCCTGCTTCTCCTCCTGCTTCTGCTCCTGCCTTTCGAGCTGCGTCTCCATCTTCTGCTCTCGCTCCTGGCTGGCATCGCGCAGCGGCTTGACTGTGATGGGCACATGGTATTCCTTGCGCGGAATGCCCATGCGCAGTATGGGCGAGGCCACCTCAATGGTCAGCTTGGCCGGCGCTGCACTTGCCCTGGCGCCGCCATAAATATAATCGCCCTCGTTCTTGATGGCCACCTGCGATTTGGGCCGTTCGCTCCAAGTGGCAAAGTTGATGCTGGGCGGTCCGGAGTAGCGATATGTCGGCGGCAGCGGCTTGGGCTCGGGGCTGATGACAGTTCTGGCTGCCTCCCGAACTGGACTGCTGCGGGCCGAGGCGTCGGTCGAGTCTGTGGCGGAGGCAGGCGTGGACACAGCTGTGACCAGGGGCTTGGCAGCGGGCACAGCTGTGGACACGACTGTAGACACAGTTGTGGACGCCACTGTAGACACGACTGTAGATACAACTGTGGGCACAACTGTGGGCACGACTGTGGACACGACTGTGTTTGCTTGTGGGCTACTCTTTGGTTTCTCTGACTGTTCCAGTTGCTGTTGCTGCTGTGGCTTCTGCTCCGGCACCGGCTCCGGCACCGGCACCGGCTCCGGCTGCGGCTCCAGCTGCGACTCCGGCTGGGTATCCGCCAGGCTGTTCTTGCGCGAATTGCTCAGTATATTCTTGATCAGCTCGAGGCTCTGCAGCGACGGCGACTCGGCGATGCTCAGTTCGCTCGAGGAGCGACGCTGCTGCTGCAGGCTTCCATTCAGCTCGATTCGGTTCAGGGAGAGCTGCGAGGAGCTGCGCAGGCGGAGACCCAGGCCCAGACCGCTGTGCCTGGGCGAGGCGGAGGACGCCTGGAAGGAGTCAGCGCGCGTGATGGTGGGCGAGCTGTTGCTGCTGTTGCTGGAGCTACTCCTGGCCGTGCTCATGCCATTCTCAATTACATTTCCTTTCCCAGTTGCGTTTCCAATTGCGGCTATGCTAAAGTTGGCCAGGCGATTCGGCTTGGCCGCCTCGATTTGTGGCTGGTCGGGCGGCTGGCGGATGAGCGTGTCGAGCCGCTGCTGCTGTATGATGGTCGACAGCTCGTCGACAATCTCGTCCAGCGGCGTGCTGGCCGTGCTTCTGGGCCGCGTCAGCGCCTGTGTGCCATCCGAGAAGTCCGGCGGCGGCGATATGGGCACCGCATAGTTCCACGACGACAGTGACGTTAGCTCGCTGGCGCTGCTGGGCGTCGCCGAGGCACCATTCGCCCGGGGCGAGTGCTGCTCCTCGGCGGTCAGCTCGTCCTCCGTCTCCGGCTGCTGAGACGTCAGCACGCTCAGCTCGGCGAGCGTTGTGGGCGCTGCGGGCTGCTGCTTGATCTTGAGCGAACTCTCGCAAGAGGTCTTGAAATTGTACACCTTGATGGCCTCCTCGTCCTCCGAGCTAGACTCGATCTGGCATTTACGCGTGGCCAGCTGCTGTGACTCGGGCTCAGGCTCCTGCTCGGGCTCCGGCTCGGGTGAGGGCGTGCTCGAGGGCAGCGGCTCGCCTATGCCCGAGTCAGCCTGCTTGGAGGCGGCATCGTTGTTGTCCTCCTCCTCCTCCTCCTCCGTGGCGCTGCCCAGCGAGCGCGGCTCCGGCGTGGGCGTGGGCGTGCGATTCAGCAGCACCTTGGACACATTCTGATTGCCATTGCCGGGCAGCTGTGGCGCCGCGCTGGTCGGCAAGGCCGGCGCCTCCTCGGGCAGCTGTGGGCTCGGAGGAGTCGAAGGCGAGTTCATAGCCATGGGTATGGGCGTGGTTATTCTGGGCGCCGGCTGCGGCTGAACCGGCGGCGGAGTCAACACTTCTGTCATGGAGGCCGTTGTCGAGGCCAGCGATATGCTGTCCGCAGCTGCCGCTGCTGCTCCGGCGGCCGCCAGATCGGGCGGCGGTGCTGGCGCCGCCTTCTTCTTCAGCTGCAGCAGACGCTTGCGCGGCGTAGGCTCCGGCAGAGTGGGCATTGGATTCGGCTTGAGCTCAACTGTGGCATAGTGTCCGCTGTCGGCGGCATCCGGCGTCTTGGCGCTGTTCCCGTTACAGTCAAGCTCCAGCGAGGGCTCCCTTTCCGTTTCCGCGTCCAGCTCCGGCGTGCTGGCCAAATTGGGCGTGGACATGCACAGCTGCGGGCGCTTCACAATGACCGCATACGCGGGCTCCGTTGGCGTCGCACTGAACTGGGCGACGGACTGCTCCGGAATGACCAGCTGGCTGGGCGGGCGGGGCGCCACGCGTTTCTTGCGCGGCGGCGGAGCCAGCGCCTTGGGCGGCACCACAACGGGCGTGCGCGTATAGTTCATGCCCGTCGAGTCCATCGAGTTGAGCGAGTTGCTCGAGCTGTACGGACTGGGCGTCTTGGCCGGCAGCTTGGAGTGCGTCGAATGCGTGTGCGAGTGCCGGCTGCTGCTGAACTCCGAGCTGCTGCTCAGCGAGTCGCGTGCGGCGGCCGTGCGCTGGAACTTGAGCATCGAGTCCGCGTTGAAGCTGTCGTACGACTCCGACTTGTGGCACAAACGGATCTCCGACAGGCCCACCGCGCCGATCGTCGACTCGCAGCTGTACACCTGACTAGCATCCACTGCGGGCGAGAGAAGCACAAATTAATGCAAGCAACTAGATTAAAGCTAAAAACTAAATCAGGTTCGCCACAAGCAAGGCTTGCTAAGGCAGTCGAACTGAACCGGTTCAGATAAAGGGAATTTGAATGTCTTTCTGTTTAAGCCTAAGCCTGGCACATAGCCCAATAAATCGTATAAATCGACTTTTCCTAAGCATGAATTCGCTTGGCTTATAACCCTATTAGATTCTTTTCTATATATTATTTAATTGAACGTAACTCCTCATTGTTCTCACTAGTTTATCGAGTTTCGATAAATTATCGAAAAGCTTGGCTGTATCGGTTAGAAGAAGTTATGATCATGGGTTGAATATTCTCGATAAATATCGGATCATTCTTTGTTAAAGCTTCTTAGTTTTCATTGTATTAACGGTCTGTTAGCATCAACTGTCCATCGAGTTTCGATAATTCGATAAAGAAGCGAAAATCTAGTTTTACAGTTGGAAATTCTGTATATATATCGGACACCTCTTTCTTGTTGATCCCTATTGTTTTATTGGAAAGCAAGCTCCATCTGGATTGTAAGACTTATCGCTTTGATTTCATGTAGTGTTGCTCAAGTTTCGAGAGTTCGATATATAATCGAAAAGATGCACAAAAAGTTATCAAAAACGAATCTCAAGCTGAGAAATTTCCTGGTACATAACACTATGGGATTCTTAATGCTCGCATATCCTTATAGTCTTCGGATCTGGGCTTACCTGGATTGCGAAACTCGTATTTATCGGCATCCAATTGTTTATTGTCACAGACCAGCGACAGCAGCTTGCTGAGTGGCACACGGGCGCCCAGTCGGGTCACGTACAGCTGATCCTTGGGCAGGAGCACGGTTATGCGAAAGGTCTGCTCGAAGGGTGCATTGCTGGTCGCCGCCGGCAGCGGCGTGATCCGATTATAATCCAGCTGACTAGCCTCATTGATGTGCATGCCCTGGTCCGTGGACAGATGGTGCAGCTGTGTTGTGGACTTCGATAGTTTCCCGTTGGCGCTCGCAACGCCGGATTTGTCTGGAAGAAGCGAGAGCGACAATTGGTAGGGAGGGGCAGGGGAAGCTCGGGGAAGATTGGAGACTTACCCTTTTTGCGGCCAAACCAGCGATTGAGTGTGGTGAAGCCGCCCTTCATGCTGCTCATCTTTGGGGCGTGGCGGGCTCGCACACTCTTTCTCTCTCTCTGTCTCTCACTCTCTCGCTCTCTCTCTCTTTCTCACTTTCGTTCAGGCTGTTTGCTGCGTGTTTTCACTAGATTTGAACTATTTCTATTTCCGTTTCCGTTTCCGTTTCTTGTTCTTCTGGATCGTTTCTTGTTCTTGTTGTTGTTGTTCGCCTCTCTCTTTCTCTAGAATGTTTCGTAATATTTCTGAAGCATACTAAAAAATGGCGTGCGATTTGTGCGCTGCGAAATCTGCAAGTGAAAATCATTCGAATGCTGATTACGATTACGTTGAAGAATACGAAAAATAATACAAAAAAAAAGAAACGCCAAAGACGCGCCAACGCGCTTATCAGAAGCCAGCGGACTGATAACGCTTTCAAGCACCTGAGGCAGGGGGGTTCCCCCCCCCCCCCCCCCCCCCCCCCCCCCCCCCCCCCCTCCCCTTGGCCAAGACTCAAGCATATAGACGAGCTAAGCGGGGGCGGGCAATTGCCGGGGGGCGTGGTAAAGCAGCCGCCACACGCATTCCTTGTGTAATGAATGGCTTTCTTATCGTCGACAACGTCGGCCCACAAATGAACACACTCACACACACACGCACGCGCACGCTCACACACTCATTCACACGCATATGGATGTTATATAGAGACCCATACGTTGACTCTATGTAAGGTCTGATTGCTTTCGGATGTGCTTATGTCAGCCAGATAAGCGTCCAAAAGACGCACATCATCTGGAATGTTGCCAACTTAACCTGAAACGGTTAAGAACTCAATTCTCAAAGCGTTTCTTCTAACTATGCTAGCCATATAATATGCCAAACAGATGTTAACAAATTGATGTCAACTTGGGCAAGACGTAAATCAAATGAATAATAATGCATTTGGAGTTGGCAAATTTTTACAAATATTATACGACACAGCAGCTGGAGTTAAGTTAGAGTTAAGTATTTCAAAAGTAAAAGATTTTCTTCTATATGAAAATATCTAAGACTTGCAATATTTTCATTAGAGCTTTTCTTTCATTAAAATGTTGAAAATATTGGAACAAAAACCTGTTTGGAAAGATGTATGAGACGAGGTTCATGCACCAAAACCGAAGGCAGACAGATCAAAGACAGTTCAAAGCCCAAATCGAACCAGCGACTTTTCTTTTTTGAGTTTGCAGCTTGTTTTGCTATTCAGTTGAGCTCCACGCGAATTGCACGCATATTCTATAAACTTCTAGACAAGCACAAAGAGTTTTAAGCTTTGGAAATACCCTAGAGTATTTAGAGTATTTTATAGTATTTGCAGCTGATCCTCCAGCTGGATCTTCCATTGCAAATTGTCTGTTTTAGACAGTCGAAATTGCAATTAAATAAAATTAGGCTAAAGCAAGCCACATCAAGTGCCCATTTAATGGGCAGCTTTAAAAATCGTTTCCAGCAATCGTAAAAAAAAATGATTGTTGAGAAAAATAATCGCAAACTAGTTAAAATATTTACAGCTTGCAAATTTGCATGCGATCGTAAAGACAAGTATTTATGATTATCATAAAGTTGCCGCGATAATATATAGACGTAGATATGCGCATATCTTTCAAATCGGGCGCGTCCATAGCTTAGGCAATTAGAGATGGGTGCGTGACAAATAATATGCATATATACACATATATTTACTAAGTTTGGGCTATCGCGACACAGTTTCTTTTAGAGATTAGATAAGAAATTTGTCAAGATGTTTAGCTACTCTTGTGTTGACTCTCGCTTTCGTAAACGATGTTCCACTTACTCAACAAATATCGCATTGCATACGATATCTAGAGACTTTGCTCGTGTCACGACTCACGCGGCCAGCTTTATTATCAATTAACCTGTTAAATTTGTTGCTATTTGCGCTATGCTTAACGCCAATCGTCCTCTAAAATATTGAATAAACAGCGATAGACGCACACACACGCACACACACACACACGCACACATTGGCCTTTGTTGCGCTATCTAGAAGCAGGCGGCAAAAGCCGCGCGCCGCCTACGACCTGCCGCGCGCGTTTTTTGTCGCGTGCGTTTAATTTGCACACAATGCGGGCGTGGAAGGTGGAGCGGGAGTGGGGGACGCGGTTAGCTCGTTTGATTGTATAATGACGTGGCTCAAACGGTACTGTTTCTCCCTCTGTGTATGTGTGTGTGTGTGTGTGTGTGTGTTGTCTTCTCATTGGCCATGCAAATTACTTACAATTGCAGCAATAATGACAACAACAACAACAACAACAACAACAATGTGTACAAGGCACATGCTATAATCAAGCAAGTGCTCGACTAACAGATACCCTGCATGCACGCGGCGCACGTTCTTTTTGATTCCCTTAAATGAACTTCGATTAAATTAAATTTGATAAGGAAAATTAACTTAAATAAAAGCGGACTATAATTCGGATAAGGCACAAGGCAGGTCTATAAATAAAATGGAGTTTAGACAATTCTAAAAGAGGGCGGCTGTCAAGGGAGTGAAACATTTCCAATAACTGTATGTTAAAGAAGCACCTATACAAGATCCAAAATCGATAATTATCGCTGTGTGATTCGTTCATGTGTAAAAAGCATACTAGAATCTAACAATTACTCGGCTAAGAGATACCCTGTATGCACACCTTTTTTCAGTGGAATAGCCAAGATAGTATGCTGTCGCCCGATGCCTGTTGATTTGTATAACACCCCATAGGACACTTGTTACAGGGTAGACTTGCAACAGTCGCACATTTATATGGATACATATGTGAGCGGGTATATGCTTTCAGTCGTGTAATTGAGACACGTGTCCGACTTACTGCTTCAATCTGCACGAGCATACCTCCCCCCCCCCCCTCAACCTCTCCCCCGGGAACCCCTTTGGCGTCCCTTGTTGTGTACGCCTTGTAGCATCTGTAAATCGATTTGGCGCTTTTGTTTTTTAACGAGCTGCCGCACTAATTAGCCCGACTATTAGCTTGGCTAATTAAATTTTACTCACTGTTTAGCTATTTTGTCGATTTGCTGTTGTTGTTGTTCGTTCGTTCTAATGCCCTGAGAAATGGAAGCGAGCAACGTGCAAACTTTACTAAACAAATCGCATAGAATTTTTATTTTTTTGCTTATCAATTTTTGTTGTTGTTCGCTCTTTTGGCTATTTAAGCACACAAATGTGTGTGTGTGCGTGTGTGTGTGTGTGTGACTAAGCGAGAGGCAGTTAGTCGGAGCGAGGCGGGGCGGAGCGGTTGAGGTTTTATAGCCAGTTAGTTAAACTTGAAATAAACATGAGTAAGAAAAAATTCCTCGGCTATCAAAGCGACAAGGCGACGACATCGAAACACTTCTCAAAAATCATCACGTTCCGAAAACATGCCAGTTGCATTGTTCTGGCCAAAAATATATAAATTAAAATTAAATGAAATAAAATAAAATATATATATAGTATGCGTATATAGCATATAGTCGACTGACTGACCGATTGCCGCAAGGCTGTGGCTTTGATTCAGCACAAAGTTGAGGGAAGGCGAAAAATAGCTTCAAAACTGAACTAAATGAATTTTGTAAAATTGATATTCAAATTGACAAAGAAAAGAAAGAGATCTATGAACTTCACAAGCACATATCCATATATATAAATATATATATTCAACTATCTGTGCATGCACTTATCGAGTCACATACTGACCTTTATGGTATATATCAGACATCCGCTAGAACTTTATATTACGTGACTCTAGCCCAGATTAGATATATAACTGTGCATATATATATACTATATATTTGTTGATTTGGCAGCCTTCAGTTTGCAATTAGATATTGACAGGGTAAACGGTCGAGTGTTTGAGTCAATCAAAAGCAATTCAATTATTGTCCCATCATTAATTATAAACAGCTGCGTTTCTGTATGTTAATTGCCATATCTCAATATACATACATCTTTCTTTATTTTTTTTTCAAAACGATTGTAAAGCAAAGTCCCTCTTTGTAGCTTATCTGGAGAAGCACTTGAAAAGTCTTTATGCGGTTTTTATGGTTTAAGTGCGCCTTTGTTTTCTTTTGAATACGTATATGGTAAAGTTCAATCTGATTCCCAATTAAGACGGAGTCGAGCCATGCCGCTGATAAAACGATCAAAAATGTCGTCTTGAAGAGGAAAAGATAAATGAGCGCTGCTTTTTAGAACGTTCAAGGATATCGGGCCTAAAGGGAAAATGAAGAGCTTGCAAGGGCGAAAGAAAGGAAGGGAAAATGATGTGACCGAGAGAGGGAAAGAGATCGAGATAAGAGTAGGACAGCCTGTAGAACGTTTGAGGATGTCAGGCCAAAAGAAAATGTGAACTGCTTGCAATAGAGAAATAAAGAGGACGTGCATTAAATCGACGCACTTGATAAAGACCCGAAAGAGTAAACAGATGTTTAGCAAGGAGATAGGTCAAGAGGGAGAACGAGAGAAAGAGGAGAGAGAGAGAGCGCGAAATGAAAGCAGCATTGCTCGTTTAAGGCTTCGCGCAAAGAAGAATCGCAAGAAAGCAAATGCTCTTCAGAGACTAAGCTAGAAATCAAGACAGAACGTTGCAGGAAATCGAACAAAGAAGAATTGGAGAAAACGCTTAAGGATATTGCTGAAAGATAAATTGAATATTTAAAAGCAATCGAGATAGAGAGAAAAGACGAAAAGATAAGTTAGACTCCAAATATGCTCGTTTACGTGACGATCTGTGGTTAGATAATTGTATGGCTTAAGCTTCAGCTTAGTCGAGCTATCAATCTCTGCTGTTGCTCATCTCCAGAATTAAACTCTTATTTAGTTGTGTTTATGGGAATGTGATTCTTTAAAGCTGATGTCACCCAATTATCAAATCCAACAACCTGTAATATCTAAACGCAACAGTTAAAAGCTATTTAGTTGCCAGTCACGTAATTTATCAAAGATTCTATTTCTATTACTGTTTCTAATTCTATATCTATTACTGTTTCCATTTGCATTTAAATTCGCAGCTATATATCAACTTAAATAGGAATTTCGTAATGTGCCCGTTGCCAACAATAAATATATAATAATTGCTTGACCTTTAAATTGCCTAATGATACTGAACAGGCATTGGGTTTAGGGCCTGGCTCATGGCAATAAATGTTCCATTATGAATACTTCAAGTCACAAAATTGGCAACTTTCTACCGTTATGCACCTGCTGCCACATAACCGTAAGTATGCCTAAAAAATGATCGTAAAGCTCAGTTCCATTTTCGGGCCACTTTGC